TTTTTTTTTTTTTTTTTTTTTTTTTTTTTTTTTTTTTTTTTTTTGTTTTGTTTTGTTTTGTTTTTTTGTAGTACTAGTGGCACCAAGGCACAGTCATCATTCAGAACCCTTAATACAAGGAGGTACACCTGAGGGGCTTGGCATCGCAATAAAAGGCTATGAAAAGAAAGTCTATTAGAATGAACCAAACATTGCTCAGACAGATGTGCTCATTCCTGTCAGTTGCAAAAAATCTGATTGTGTCCTTCCATCAAGGTGCCAAACAGCAGCAATATTTTGCAATTACACATTGGATTTGCTTTTTCTCCCCAGCCATGCAAATGTTAGTGTGGAGTAACTACTAAAACCAATGAAACACACTTTACATTTCAGACCAGTGTAATGGGGCAGGATCTTGCCCTTAGTTAACATTAGTGTATAGAAGCTCCTGCAAATAGTACAAGCTTCTGACCAGAAATGAACACTGTCATTCCTTGTTTCACAGTAGGTGACTTCAGAACTCTCGTCAACAGGATATCCAACTGGAGTGCCAGGTTTCCACAAGTTCTCCTTGTATCAAAAGGAGAAACTAGTGATTCAAGCAGCAGCTAATATGTACTGTTATTAGTAAGTTTAGTCATTCAAAGTTAGCATTACAACAATTCTACACTACCTCTCAAAGTTAGAAGAGAGCCATATTTTCCGTGCTCTCAAATGCTTAGAGTTTTGTTTCAACTGTTCACTGGACTGCTGAAAGTTTAAGGCATGTTGACATGACTTAGATACTGTAAAACAAAACACAAACTTGCCTAATAATGTTAAAAAGTTTAAAATCCCAGCAATTTTCTGTTCTAAAAATATGTTGGACCGCTGAAATCCATACCTCTTGCCAACATAAATCAAGAGCTTCATCTGAAAGGATTTGGCACATTTCATGTGTAGAGCACTTTAACAAAATAAAAAGAGCGAGAAATATAAAACCACACACCACCATTTTCTTTACTCAAAATGTGGTATTCATTTAAAAAAAAAAAAAAGCAGGCCTGGCACCCCATAGCAAGAATCCCTAACTGGAGCCGAGACATAACATCTTCAGAACTGCTACAGTGACTTAGGGGTCCAAGTCTCTTTTTAAAAGCAAGTTATGCTTCTCAAGTCAGTTTTGAAACAGACACTTGGAGCCTAAGTCACTGTAGCACTTCTGAAAATGGTAACAAAGATTTAGCATTACCCAGCTATTTGGGGTAAAATAACCATATGGAATGTCCTCTTAAGGATGCAACATGCAGAAGTATAAGCAACTACTGGTACAAAAATGCTCAGGTTCAAGTGTAATCTGAAGTACCAAGTTGGCAAGAAACAGCAAAAGATTTTGCAGCGATATTGAACACACTGTATACAAGGTCTGCAGCAGCTCTTTAAGTCCTTCCAAGAGGCACTACAACACTCAGAGGGTGTCCTCTACTCAAAAGATGTTTTTGCTCAAAGAACAGTATCACTAAAAACTTCACCTGTACAGATGCATCATATAAAGTTTATTCAAGTATTTCCTCTAGAATATGGGCAGAAGGACATGTTGCACCCACAAAGCTTGTCAAATGGTGGTTGTGCTCTTCTTTACTTTGATCAGGGTGGTGTCCCCTCCATACCCTCCTCACTACTTTCTTGCACACAATCAGGCTGCTAGACCCTGAATTTCATTCACACATGCTTTCCATGCCCAAGAAGGATTTTCATCCTAGGGTAGGTCCTTGTTCATTAAAGGCTCTCTAAACCAGTTCCTTTGGGCTTTTAAATAGATTTGTTCAAGAAGTTAGTGCTCTTCATTTTTGTTAGCACTAGCATAATCTGATGCTATGGAAGCTTCCTTATTCAGCTCTGCCAATGCACCTCTCCTCTCACCTTTGGTACATCCTGCTTTTCCTTCTTTTGGAGAAGAGAGACAGAATATGGCACAATTGGGAGTCTCGACTATGATAAGACTTTTCATGTATGGTCTAAGCAGGACTTGAATCCAGGTTTCCAGAGGTGAAAGTCTAGTACAGTAATCAAACATGTTATAGATGCCCAAACTAGTTTGTCTGCAATTGTAGTTTCACCCCCAAACTAATTCCCTCAGGAAAAGCACAAAATAGGTCCAGTGTAATAACTATTCTTTCCCCCCACACTTCCAGCCTCCTCAAACCCTTAAACTGTCATTCTGTTACAACTTGCTTTTAAAAAAAAACCAAACAAACAATAAAAACCACATAAAGTGAAATTGAATGGATGGTTTCTCAACAAAAAACCCTGTAGGTAACATTAAAACATTGGAGTTTTAGTTTGTTTTTAAAAAAAAATGAGAAACAGGAGGTTTTAAGCAATAAATGTGCCTTCCTCCTTGCTCCCATCTATTAACCAACATCAGACAACCATTGTCAGCATGAGTGCTGCTTCACGTTGTAGCATTTCCATTGTTTACTGTGTTATACTCATTCATCAGTTGTTCATAAGGCACAGAAGTTTCCAGCTCATTACTGGTAAATGTGGATTCATCGGAAGATGAAAACTTCATCAGGGTTTTGGGAGTCTCAGGTTCCTCTACAAGATTGTCATCCATGGAGGATTTGGAAGTTTCCTCATCATCTGAAATATCTTGCTCTTCATCATCATCTTCATTTACAAAAGTTATATTGGCATTCTCAAATATCAGGGGACGGCAATCCCTGGAGTCCCATGCTTCCCCTTCTTCCTCACTGATTCGGTCCAGCTGGTTTACAAACATGTTGCAGCCCAGTGGGCTGTCTGTCTGTTGGTCATTTAGGTGCTTTGCAATGTGACCATTTTTGAGTTTTAAGGAAACCTCATCATAATTGAATGAGTTGCTCTTTGTGTACGTCACCTGGACATCTTTATTGGCAATCTGCATATTTGGTTTGGAATGGTCTGTTTTAATGACATTATCATTGTTTGACTTCAGGGCCTTCTTCCCAATCTGCTTGATGAGATCATTATAGGTTTCTTCCTTCTTGGAAAGGAAGCTGAAAATGTTCACATCCTTGGAGGTGCCCATTTGAAGGGCTTTTTTAGAGTGAGGGGGATTTTCAAATGACTCTTTCCTTTTTTTCCTCCGTTTCTTGATTGCTTTGTGGACTTCCACAAACATGCTGACTTTCCAATTAACAAATAGAGAAAGCCACGCTAGGCCCAGGTAGATCCATAACTCCACAAAGTATCGGTAAAGGGCATGGTAGTTTGCTTCTGGGTTTACACCTGCAAATAATTCAAAACAGGACTATCACCTTGTGACTGTATACAGTTTTAGGAAAGTATTCAACCAGGCATAACCTTCATGAACCCGAGTGAAAAAACCTTGAAGGCTTTTCAGGACACAGTTTTTTACATCTGCCTTCCAAGAACAAAATCAGAGTAGAAAGTGCTTGAAAAAGTTTGTCCTAGAAAGGGACTAACCTTAAAAGAAGTCTCTTGCAAAAAAAACAAAACCCAAACTTTTTTTTTTAAATGGATCAGAAAGAAAGGACAGTTTAGTTGTTAAAACAATGTTAAGAGCCAAGATGTGGGTTGTTTCAAATTCTCCTGAGCAACTATGGGCAAGTCATGTTCAAGTTTTTAAAAGTGCTCTGTAATTTTGGGCTCTAGACACACAGGAACCAATAGTCAGAGGTGGTAGTCATTTATAACTGAATTTAGTTTGAAGTCAGTTGGAACTATCAGCATTGACTACTTCCATGGGAGAAATACAACTTGCCAAATGAGAGCCAAGGTGTCAGTAGGTGGTGCCCAAGATTAGAAGCTGCTTTAAAAACCTGAGTCCTCAACATTAGTACGTCCGAATTTCTCGCATTGAAAAATGGGGACCCTGTTTTCCTAGCATGGTTGGAAGCTTGTCTGCCTTAAACAAGAGATATAAACAAGTGTTCATTATTCAAAATTAGAGCTACTGCTGATGATCATAAGAGCAGCAGTACTCTCAAAGTCACCCAAAAATGAAGGACTCCAACTAACGTAGAACTTATTTGTTGCGATTTGGCCATGAGTTTTTCAGTCACTCACCCCACATTGAGCAACTCACCCTGAGAAACTGACAAATTCAAGTGGTTGCTGAGACCACTGCAAACTTGGGCAGGAAAGAAGCACTTTCTATCCCAACTCCAGTTTTACATTAAGTAGCCAATGGATAAAATACATAAGCAGTGCTTAGAGCAGGGGTGAAAACCAGAACTCTTCCAAGTCTATAGTCTGACAGGTAGAGAACTCTCTTGGGGTGTGGGATAGGTAGGTAGGCATGACCCCTCCCAGGCTGATGGAAGTAAAAGCTTCAGATTTCCCACATCCTGGGCAAGTGCTCTGACCACCTGAGTAGTGCACAAGAGGTGGGCACCGTGCTTCTTCCCAGAATTGTCTAAATAAAAAGAGTGAGCACCGTTTTCTTTCTTTTTTTTTTAAATGAAAGAACGCAGGCACTTTACTCAGGGCTACAGACATATAAATCCTGGCAAAAGAAAGGTGGGATTGAGACACCTTCCCCTTCCTGTCCTCAGCGTTTCCCTATTGTGCAGACCTAGGTAGTTTCACACTGAACAGCAAACTTTAGGTAGCTCCCTGCTTAGCATGTTGCTACTACAGAGGTGCCTAACTCTCCCTAGGCACACACAGTGGGCCTGCCCCCACAACACAAGCATTAGATTCCATTCAGGGGCCACATCCTAAAGATTAGATGTTGCTGTGCCTAACTCTTTACTGAATCTGGCCTGAAGTACCATTTAAAGAAGCTGCAGGGTGAGCTCCTGGAGCAGCATTAACCATTAGGAAACACTGAGAACCATTAGGAAACGCTGCTCCTCTTGCAGCAGCACTGACCACCAGGGAAATATTCAGTAAAGCAGAAGGCTCTGGAAATCTTATATCTCAGGGAAGTGACAGCACACGTGACACATACATTGGACAACACGAGAATAAGTTATTACTGACCAGCAACAAAGTCTCCAAATCCTATGGTGGTGATAGTGATGAACGAGAAATAGAGACCTTCAATGTAGTCCCAGCCTTCTGTCACCATAAAGACGAAGGGAGGAATAACCAGGTGAATGAGGACTCCCCACATAATGAAAATAGCTGTACATGTGATTTGTGCTTGCCTCTGGGAAGAAGTAAAAAAAACAAACAACAACAACAAAAAAACCTTTAGAGAGAAGTCACATTTTCTTTCACCCAGTGCACTTTGTTTTGTGCCCAATGTCAGTGATATTAGTCAATTTGTACTTCTGCAGTAAGAGTTTAGCAACCATGGCTAAAGGGGACTGAAAAAAGTAAATGAATGAATGGAAACAAAAAAAAAAAAATCATCACATCATTCAGACACCTCAAAAACAGTGCTTTCAGGTCATTTTCTCAAGTACTTTTTGGATGCATGCATACTCCAAAAGGTAGAAGAGTTCCTTACAGTAGCAGCAGTAATTTAGTGCAGTACACAGGTTTGGTACAAGCACTGATGCCTGAACAGGTAGAGATCACTGCAGTCTGTGAGCATATCACCACTTCTGTCCAGGGTGATCCAGTCATAAGCAGTAGCTGTTGGAGTAGTTGCTTTGGTAGCAAAAAAAGGATGCTGTGGAAGAACACTGGAAGCAAGGGCATGGAAACCAGAAAAAGAGCCAGGTTAGCAACAATCAATGAGGGAGCACCATAAGGCTGACAGGAAGGGGCTTTAAAGGGTTTTGGAGAGGAGAGAGAGGGGCAGCCAGGGCACTTAAAAGAAAGCATGTCATATTCTGAATTCATGGACATCAGTTCCATCTGTTTTTGGGGGACTACTCAAGCCACTCAATTTGCATTAGTTTAGATGGCAGCCCTCAAGAGAACAGCAATTCTGTAATCTACAATGCTTGTTAGTTCTCTAGAGGCAAAATTCATACAGGTGCAGAGAGCCAGAACTTGTACAGAGGTCATTTTAATCCCCTCTCCTCCTGCACAAAACCCTTTTATTAATTGGTCATGTGTGTCTGCATATCTCTATTTTACCCTAAGTAGTACACTGTATGATTTTTGCTCTACTGCTTTAAGTCACTTACGCTGCTATACAGGGGCTCCTACACACATGGGGAGCCTGCTCCGATGAGCTGGAAATCCAACACATCAGAGCAGACTCATTAATTGAGTCTGCTGGAGCACAGAAATTGACATGTCACTGTGCGTCTCTGCGCTGACAAAATGGCAGATGTGTGCTCTGAAATAAAACATGTCCAATGAACTATAGTTTAAAGCAGCGTGGGGACACAATGTGATGCTGATACATGTAACACATGGGCACTTTTAATTAGTGTGGCTTGCTAATTAAAGCATCCAGTGCCATGCCAAAAGCGCATGTAAAAATACCCCAGGTTTTGTTGTGCAGGGTGTCTCTATACTGAGAACTAAGACTATAGGATCACCCAGAAGCCCCAGTCATGACCTACTGTGCAAACTGAGGCAAACGATCTTAGGCAGTAGAACTGGTTGCTTAGGGAAGTTGTGGACTGGCCATCACTGGAAGTGTTCAAGAAGAGGTTGGACGGCCACTGGTCAAGGATGACTTAGGCATAGCTATGCCTGTGGTCTACTATGTGTATTCCTCATGCTGGGTGCCCCTCAATCCACCTTTCTGTTACATGTGTCAGGGTGCCTTTAAGCTTCCCTCAGAGGCATTCGGTGTTGGCTTCAGCCAAGGCTGGGGATTTTGGCTAGGGTGTGCCAGTGCTCCTGCTGGAACTTAAAACCAGAGGTTCCTAGCTGGAGGGTCTTCCTCCTCTGCTCAGGATCAGACTGATTGCCATATCTGGGATCAGGAAGGAATTTTCCCCATGGTCAGATACGTGTGGACTGGGCATTTTGTTGCCTTCTTCCATAACAGGGGGTGTGGCCCTTTACTTCAAATATCTCTAGCATATATTAATGATCTTTTATAGAAGCGGGACAACTGGCTGCCATGGTTCCTCTGCTTTACCTGTGGCAAGTCAGGATGTTATGTCTTGTGTTGTCTTAGGGTTTATGGCAGTCTTATGAAAAGTTTAGATTGTGGATTGTATAGGGTGGTTTGGACAGGGATGGTCCTGCTTTGGATTGGATTGGATGGCCTCTAAGGGTCCCTTCCAGCCCTACTTCTCTATGATTAGTCTATGACAGCTTACAGAGTCCAGTCCTGCTCTAGGTCAAACTGTGTAGTATCACTACGGAATTTGCCCCTTGATATGTCCAAATGTCCTACCCAGATAAGCAGGCATGCAAAGAACTAGGTTAAGTCACACATGAAACACTTGGCCAGAGAAGAAACATACCAGGCTTACTCCTCTCTTGGTCAAGAACTGGCCCAGCCTCTTGGCACGCCCACCAAAGAACTTCCCCAAAGCACTGATCCATGTCAAGCAGAGGGGAACCCCAAAGAGACCGTAAAATATGCAGAAGAGACGCCCAGAGGGTGTCTTTGGAGAAACGTTTCCATATCCTGAAAGAGATAAGAAGATACTATTTAGCTCACATGAGCTATGGGCTTGTGCTAAGCATATAGCAGTACAATTCTGTCTATACACAGATGACAAGCCATTGTCTGAGCCTTTGCTGTACCAAATATCCACAACTCAAAAGCTGCAGTCCTTTCCTACCCAATGCTGATGACCTGAAATACTTGGAAGCCTTCTTCTAAGTAACATATTATATTTAAGTCGAGGCTGGGAATGGAGGGCTGCATTTTAGTTGCCTCCTGGCTTATCTACAAGTTCTGAGGCCTCTCTCATCAGATAAACCAGAGATTAAAAAAACCCTCACCTTGAGGCACCTAAAGTGTTTTTCCCCCTCTTTTGGTAAAATACTGCTAGAAGTCTGAATCTTATAAACTGATTCAAATGCATCCTCTATAATCCCTCCCCCGCATCTCCTGCCATAAAGACAAAAAAGAAATCAAGTTAGCAGATCAAAAGTGCCACTGCTAAGAAATTTGCGCCCCTTGTGAGATCTCCATTCTGGGCATGAATGTTATACCCTAGCACCTCTGCAGAGAGAGGCAATCAGACAACCAGCTGGAGGAGAATGGGTCACAAATGTGCAAGTTGCCTTGATCAGGGCTTTAAATCTTGGATAGTAACAGAACTCAACAAGCAACCATTGGTATTCTGAGCACAGACCCAGGAAAGACAACCAGCTTATTTTCTAACCCTCTGCTTGAAATTTCTTGTTTAAACTATGTTTGCTTTCCTGAGTTTTCTTGCTGGAAGTCAAGCAAAAATAAAGTCAGATTTCTTCAAGGGTTTCTTAAGTAATATTAACAGGGGGAACATGTTGCTGTATTTGGTTTAGCAGTAAGGTTCCTATCTTGCTCACCTCCTCTGGTCAGTTTGTGTTTTCCAACACCATGGATGTTCTTTTTTCAGAACAAACAACAACCAACCCATAAACCTGCTCTTTTTCTGAATCTCGCAGGGTCCTACAGATATATCAGTGGCAGCCTTCTGTAATAGCAAAGGCAGGGTTTTGCATTGGGAGAGAAGCTGATTTTCCAAAGTACTGCGTATTGGAGATGAGCAAAAACCTTTTGGTTGGGTTCTAGCTGCATAGAGCAGTGGCAAATTTTAGACCACCTCATACCTTTTGCCCTTTCCCCTTAAAAAAAAAAAAAAAAAAAAAAAAGGGAAAAAGGGGGA